AATATAATATAATATAATATAATATTATATAATATAATATAATATAATATAGTATAATATAATATAATATGGTATAATATAATATAATATAATATAATATAGTATAATATAATATAATATAGTATAGTATAATATAATATAATATAATATAATATAAATAATTTTACTTTGAAATACACAATTTGAAGGGAGTTAAAAAAATGGGCAAAAAGGATGAAAAATGCGCGCTACGACACTGATCGAACGACGGATATTTGCGGCCACTTGAAACCAGACGAATCGAACACTGAGTACACTGTCACGTTCAGGAAACTCTCCTCTATCTTGTAACAAAAATCCGAGCTATCTAATGTTCTTATTTTTTACGCGATGCCCCTTTTTTACCCTAAATAGCGCTACTGTACGAAACCTCGTGTTTTTCCAAAAATCGAGGGTGACAGAGCAATCCCTCTCTCTGGGATTCGTCTTTTGTATGACAAACTGTATACCAGGATCACGCTGACTGGTTAATACAGGCCGAAATTATCGTTCGACAATGTAATCACTTTACGAGTAGCGCGGAGAGCGCTTAAAGCTGCGCGTTTGCGGCACGTATGCATTTATACACGCGCGCACGTGTCGCGGTGTGCGAAATGTACGCGTGTACACTTCGAAATGCCACGAGGTTACATCCGGGTAGTGTGCACGTTCGCGTCTCTAGACCTATTCCAAGTTCTAGCTTGCCGTTTCATGTATTCTCATAGAACGCCGCTCGAACTTTCAAGGAAATGAAGTCGCTTTAACCTTCGCGCGGAGGCATCACGATCCTCCAAATATCCGCATTGAAAACAGAATGTCACGTTGGAGTGCATTGAAATCATACGGAGACACGAGTCGCGGATGCGTTCGACGTTGCATCGATTTTTTTGCTATCCCTTTCGATTGTATACTTTGTTGACTTTGCATTATATATACTCGTGTAATAATCAATGTCATTCGGAGAGATATTTTATAACGTGTGCTTACATTATACAGTAAATTCTCCCGGATTGTCCCTCAGCTTGTAAACAAAAATGGACAATTTGGGAAAAGGAGTATTATTTGAGCCGTTTATGTTGAAAGTGGCATAAGTCATTTTGCTTTTTAGTCGATATATTTAAGGGTTTGCGTTTTAACACGTTTAAAAATATGGATGCTAACTTTCGAGAAGATTTACTTGTATTTGTTATCTCAGGATACTGATATTTTTCTCAGTATAAATAATCACCACTTTTATATATATATTTTAATAT